AAAATCTAATCGGATGCAGTTTTTCTATTATTTTTTTGTGTTAAGTTCTGTTTTTAGAAGCTTAAGATCACATTTCTTTATGTTTGCACTGATAAGCACTTAGTTTGATTTGATGATGTTGGACCTTCTAACGAACTTTTATTTTAACCTGGGCATACATTTTACGGACCACAGAAGAACTGGAATCTCTTCAGTGTAAACATTGTTATGGCCGGTACAGGAATTTACCAGCTTGCTCGCAAAATTCGGTCAGTGAGTTTGTATAATAATGATATTTTTCCATATTTTGTCAATTAAAGTGTCTCTGTGGAACAATTATCTCATCATTTTTCTTTTATGTTGGTAACAGACACGACTATTTCAATGAGGAGCAAGCTGTTGTTGCCAAAGAATGATGATGAAAATCTCCTTTTGCCTGTCTTATCTCTTGTGGCCATCAACTCAGTTTTCGCTTGGTTAGCTTTTTATTTGCAGTTGCCCTAAGATAGGGCTATTCCATTTTCTTTACCCTTCTGCAGACTTCGATTTTGAATAATATTGATGACCTTGAGAATCTGGATTTCGGTTCTATTATGTTAAACATAGTACATGCATGAAGAGACGACCCGTACTAAGAAATAATTTTACTAGTGATGTAACTACTCGCCATTATCAGTAGGCATATATGTTCATACTTCAAACTCGTTTCTTTTGAAACCTTGGTCCGTTTGTTTCGAAAGCTATGAATTGAGCTTTTATAATTGAGCTTGTAAACTCGCAATCACAAACACACAAAAAGAAAGAATAGACCCAAAGGAAATATAATTGAGCTTGTATAAATTGTATAGATTGAATCCACAGCATCAAAGAAGATGAACAAATAGTAATTCAATAGCATTATAGCATATATAAACCGAGGAATACAATCATCAATACATAAAATCTAACAACACCAGAGAAGATTATGCAATGCTAACACTAAGATCTATAAAATTATATTCATCACTTTCCATCATATTCATCACTTTTGGAGGTCTCCGCATGTGTTTTCTTCTATTTCATTCTGCTTAGCTTCATCCTCCAATCTGTTCTGATGCCTCATTCTTAAGTTCTTCAAGCAAATCAATTTATCAAATCATCTCCCCACGGAAAAAACAAATTTTGAATTATCGAATAACTTAAAACGGAATTATGCATAACCAGCATGTCAGAATTACTATTGCCATTGCCCTCCATTAAGACGATGATCTGCCGAGTCTGGCACCAACTCCCTCCATTAACAGGCGATTGGTTTGGCGGTAGAAATTAAGTGGAGAGGGAATAGGATCTTGTGATTTTACGAGCTAGCTATATTATATTTTTCGTTTTTACCATATAAATGTTATAAATGTTTTCAAAAAATTATTTTAGAACGAGAGAGTGTTACATGTTATAAATGTTGCATTAAATATAAGTGCAAACTTTTAAAAAATTAAAATTAATATTTTTTTAAATATAAAATGTTAATTGTTAACTAAGACAATTTTTATCCAAAACTCAACCCAACTTAATAATTAGAAATAATTTCTCTTCCCATTCACCTACACAACCCAACCTTATAACATAAATTATGTTTATTAGTGACCCAATCCAATCTAAAGTATTTTATTTATTTATTTATTAAGTATTATCTAGAATTTATTTTCGTTATTGTTTTAGTTGTGAAAATATGAGAGTTGAGATAATATTCAAAATTTAAATCTATTGTTGATGTCTGAAAATGACCAACAATGTGTTCAAACTGTATACTAAGGTGTATACTCGGTTCGGTCTGCAGGAAATAGGAATTTATATGGTATTCGGTACGAATGTAAGCTCTATTCGTGACTTTTATATCGTTAATGAGAGCATTTACTCATTGCATTTAATGTTGTCTCTTGCTCCTTATATAGGAAATGTGAGGGTTTTTCACAATCCACATTGTCTTTTACATTTTCCTTTACAAGATATTAATTAATATTTAGTCACACCACATTTAAAACCATTGTACTACACAATCTCATCCCAGTAAAGTTCATTCTGCCGGGTTGCGACACGTGTCTATGCTTGTTAAACACCCTCAGATGAGTGATTACCGAATCTAGCCGCATTTAATGCGTATCGTATGGACAATTCAGGGTGATGATTAGCTTTAATTGGACACGCTACCCGTATCTCGCTCGGTTTTCCTTCTCATTCGTTCCGCTTCTTTATTTTCTTCTCGCACGCGGATGGCTTTTATTTAATTTAATTTTCTGTCCGTTCGGTCTCAACCCCGTATAGGACACGCTACCCGTATCTCGCTCGGTTTCCCTTCCCGTTCGTTCCGCTTCTTTATTTTCTTCTCGCGAACGCGCATGGGCTTTTATAAAATTTAATTTTCTGTCCTTTCGGTCTCGACCTCCTACAATCTTAAATCTTAAAAAGTCTTAAGATGTCGCTTGAAATCCAAATTGAATACACCATTCGAAAATGAGTTTAGGTTGGTGCTAATCATTCTTCTTTCTTGTAAGTTGTAACGAAAAGATAAGTGAAAAAATCAATTGTGCTGAAAATCAAAATAAAATTAAAAACGATTTCATAATAAACCTCATCACATTATCGGCTTGACTCTAGCCTCCTAGCTAGGGTGGGGAGGCTTATGCCAGATTGATAAAGCACATAACTACATAGACAGGGCGGGTTTATCTACCTACTTGCTATGGTGATTATGGAAAACGAGAAACAATTGACTCTTTAGAGGAGAAATGTAAGGGGAGTGAGATCTGGTGCAGAGCCACCAGGCCCACAAGGCCCACAACTCTCGAGTATCCGAAGAAAAACTGTGGGGGTCATTTTGGTAATCTGATACGAAATTAGGGTTTAAGAATTGTTCCATTCATAAAGCCCAACCCAATACAACTTCTGGGACTATTTATACTCCACGAGCAGTGGTCTTTCATTTGCTCACAACCATAAAATGCGCCGTCTTTTTTAGTCCATAGGATTGCTCTGTTTTTCAACTTTGATTACAATTTTATTCCTGATTTTCATTTTGATGGTAGAGAATAATGCTACATGTACTCCAAGGAAGGGTTGATTTAATACCTTTTATCTTGATTTTGCTTGTAGCGAAATTAATTGAATGGA